TGGTGCATGGGTTTAACCCCGAGACACTTGGGATGTTCTGCGGTTCCTCGAGTTCTTTGGTGTTTCACAGCCCGGAGAGATCGCTGTGGTCTGACCCGTCCCGTGTAACGCCAGTTCGGTCCTTTCCTCTTGTGGTGACTTCGGGTCGTTAGTGTGCTCCCACCCTCCGGAAACACCTTCTCTTCCTTGTCAGTGTGTCAAGGGGGGTCTGAAGGAATTAAATTTCATGGAATCAAAGAATGGTTTGGGTTGGAAGGGGCTTTAAAGCTTCTCCAGTTGCAGCCCCCCTGCCATCAGCAGGGACACCTTCCACTAGACCAGGTTGCTCAAAGCCTCATCCAGCCTGGCCTGGAAGACCTCCAAGGAGGGGGCATCCACAGCTTCTCTGGGCAACCTGTTCCAGTGTCTCACCATCCTCACAGTGAAGAATTTATTCCTATTATCTCAGCTAACCAACCCTCTTCCAGTTTAAAAGCCATTTCCCCTTGTTCTGTCATTACCCACCCTTGAAAAAAATCCCTCCCCAGCTTCCTGTAGCCCCTTCAGGTACTCTTCAGCTTTTCTGCTCCAGTGTGGAGTCCTCCGTGGTCTACACATGGGTCTCTGCTTTGCCATTGAACCTCCATGGGCTGCAGGGGACCTCATTTACCTTCTCCTACTCCATGCTGTGGAACTGGGTGTCTGAGTTGTCCATAGTGCAGTTCCTCACATGAGGTTCTCTGTCCACCCCCTCCTTCCTCCTAGCAACGAAGCTCTCTCTCTGTTTAGGCCGATGGTCGTCTTTTGTTCAGGTCAGTAGCTTCTCCTCCAGGTTTTCAAGACAGTCCTTCCCCTCACCAATATGGATCAACAGAGGCGTTTGTCTATTGCTAATTGGCTCAGCCTGGGCTGGAGGGATATGTCTTGGGAGCCAGGGGAGCTTTGAAGCTTATCACAAGGTGGCCCCTTCCCCCACTACAAAAAATGGTCTCCCACACACACACAAACCCAACACAATGTCTTTTTTTTTTTTTACCCCTCTGAGATATTTGAGACCACATGGAAGCAGTTCCCTATCAGATGTGACATGAGAAACAGAAGTGGTGGTTCAGCAAGGTCTTGGCTCTTGCACCTACCTTGTAGGACATAAGTAGAAACTATTTCAATCACATCGACTTTAAAGCCATTATTTTAGTTCTTAAATATTTGGCTACATCAGGGCCTGACTTCCTTTGGAGCAGTGACCTTGAACCTTCAAATGTATCTGACTTGACTTAAATCACATACATATTTTTTGTAAGTCTGACTTTATATTAGGTTTTAGCCTTGGAAATGGAAATCTGAACGGCCAGATTTATTTTACAGTCTTAGACTTCAGCACTTGCAAATTGTCCCATTGATACTGGAATGCTTTCAGAGATAAAATTGGGTATGTGTGGGATTAAGGCTTTAGCAAGTGAATGCATTTTCTAGCTTGTGAGATAAGATACCTACATAGTTATGGCCTTTTTCACTCTTTAAACGTACTGGGTTTGGTTTAGGAATAGCATTCCTAGTTGCTATGGTTATATAAAAATAATGATCTGTATACTTGTAGTGAGACTATACAGAGAAATAAAAACATTTGCTGGCTAACTTGTGGCTGATATTTTACCTTCACTTGATGAATAAACTAGTTGTACTAGTTTTTTCCCCTTTCACCATGACCTAGGTCATCACAGTCTGGTCCACTTTGGACAGAGGTGGCTGGATCTGGGTGCTGCTGATAGGGCTGACTCTATCAAGGCAGAAAGTGCAGAGTCTGCTCTCCTGACCACAGATACTGGAATGAAGTTTCTCTGGTCACGGCACTTGTATCCCTTACTTGGCTTTCTTGCTTGCAGTGGCTACTTTTCCTTCTCTCCCATCTTAACCTTTCAGAACAGAAAGCAGATTAATTAAAATACAAAGCCTCTACATGATATGCAAATCAAAAGACAGGAGTGGAAAACTGTGGCTCTTCCATGAACTGTGGAAACTGCTCTGTTCAGCTGACCTTTATATAGTTTTTCCTTCCTCTGTCTTGTGCCAGTCCAGCATGATGTGATTGTGCAAGCACAGTGTTACGGGCATGAATGGTCTTGTATTCAGATGAAGTGATTCATGTTATGAAAATTAACCACGTGCTCAAGTATCCCCTGAACAGTCTGTGTGGTAGACAAAAGTGTAACTGAGAGATACACAAGCTAAATTGTAATAAGCAGTAGAAGCAATAAACCTGTGTGTCCAATTTAAACAACCAGCTTTCTGCTTTTGCTTCTCTTTTAAAGCTACTAGTGTAAAAACGATTGTGTTTGATATGAAAAATGCAATGAAACTGTATTCTGTCTTGGGATTTGTAGGTGCTGCTTCGGTTTGAGTAACAACAACAATAACAGTGTTGAATGAATTAAACCACCAAGGGCTGCTTATTTTGAAACCAAGGCTTTAGAAGAACTAGTGTGCTCTTTGGATATTATGCTGTATCTGTCTCATCATCCCTGCTGGTTTCTGCTTGTTTAGAATCATTTTTATTTTTTAAAAAACAGACAATCCTGTTACTGTGGAAGAGATAATAGGTGATCACAAGGCCTAAAGCAAACAAACAAAAATGTATCTATTACCCCTACCTCTAATTGCTTTCCATTACAGTCATTTTAGCTGAGACTTTTAACAACTTTAAAGTAAAACCCCTGGGTCTAGATAAGGTATTTATTAACTTCATGACATTTTTAGAAGTCTTTGATGCAGCAGCTCTCACAGGGAAGTTGTTCTGTCATCTCAGAACATCCCTACGTGGTTGGTATTTTAAGGCCATTCAGGAAGGATGGTTTACTGATGGTTTTTTTGTTTTGTTTTGTTTTGTTTTTTTTTTACAAGAGGTGAAAAGCAGGTTAATTTGTCATTTGTACTCTGTGGCTGTGTTAACCGAAGTCAGTCACTCCTGAGTACCCTCTGACAGGCCTTTCTGCTGTTTATAGCTGCAGTCACAACTTTTGAATGACTACACATCTGGAGAGCATTTCTTCCACTGCAGATATATTCTAAAAAAACCCCAGATCCAGCTGATTTTACTGACAGATGTCCTTTGAGTCAGCGTTTTGGCTGGTACTGGAGGAGACAACACTCCAGATAACGACTGTTACTTAGAGGGTCAGCAGACCGCTGTGTGAAAGCCAGGCACCTATGTGTTTATACGTAAGCACTATTGATTCTGTGTTTAGAGACCAGCAACATGTAACTGAGAACAAAATTTTGTCTGACAGTATAAAGTCAAGCCCTTGACTGGCAGAAGATGCGAACAGAATGGTGTTTAGGTACCTAGTATGAAATCTTGGCGACTGTAGAACTCTTGTTAAAGCCCCAATGTTTTAAACATGGCTTGCAAAGAGAATTGAGTACAAAACTGGGCCTGTGCCCTTGTTTGTTGTTATCTGATTTATAGAGAACTCTCAAGATTTTCCCTTTGAAAAGCTTTTTGCTCAGTTTTGCATTGGAGATTTAGAGGTTGCCTTCTTGGGAAAACTTAAGTTTTGAAAGAACTGGTCAAGTTTTGACATAATGAGAGGAGGCTTTTGAAACTTTTTTTGAAACTAGATTGTTTAAACCTCTTTAAAGTGTATTTTAAATTAATGTATCCTTTGGTGAAGGGGCACCTGTGTTAATGAATGTAAACTTCCTAAAGAGAGAGGCAAGAGTTCCACAAGACATCTCTGCAGTCCACAGGAAGTCCAGGGGAGGTGGGGCTTGACATTCTCCATACAGCTAAGGGTTGTGTTGGTGTTTTTTTAAAAAAGCATAATAAATGTTTAATGAATTTTATTTATTTATTTTTTTTAACAGTCCCTTCTGATTTTATTAATCTAGTTCCCTGTTTGGCTCTTGCAATCCTCGCATTGTCCCTGCAGTCAAGCAAGCTCCTTCTTCCTGTTGTGATCTCTTTCAGCTGTTGTCTGTGCCATTCCTGGGGATGTCCTAATACAAAGGAGAGGTGGGTAGGGCTTGGTGTGAATTGTAGTGATCATGGGCCCTGCTGGATAGGACAGCACCTTCAGCTCCTGTCAGTGAAGTCTTGTTCTGAATGAATCCCCATTTTCTGTTCCCAGAAATGGTGTATTCCTGCAATTTTGTGTGCAGTGGTCCTTGGCAGTTGCTTTGGGATAGAATATAGGAAGCAGACCATGTCCAAATTTGTATTGTTGCAGAGCAGGAACAGTATTGGGGTAGGGTCTGTCTGGTGTCCTGTTGAAATGGGAGTCTTGGCACTGACTTTCTTGAGCTTTGAACTGGATCCTTAGAGAGGGTGAGTTAAAAGTCTTTGTGCCAATGCCTGAATTCTGCTTGTATTTTCTTCCCTAGGCAAATTCAGAATATGCACACAGGACTGGATTTGTCAGTGCCGGAATACCAGGAGATCCGAGGGAAGATGATGTCTGGCCATGTAGAGTATCACATTGTCGTTGTTACCCGACTGGCTGCCTTCAAATCAGCAAAGCACAAGCCTGAAGATGTAGTTCAATTTATGGTAAATATTTAATTGGTGCTGTGTTAGTCATAATTTCTTAATCAGTGTAGATTATTTTGGTTCTGATACTTTGTCATCACAGCCTTCCTGGGTCAAGGTCCTTGGTAGGACAACACACTCTGTACCATTTCTGCAGCAGGAGCATTATACATACATTAATTAAGCTTTTTATTCCAGGAGCTCAAAGCAACAATGACTGTTTGTTGTTACCTTTAAGACATTTTGCATTATGGGTCAACAAATAGAAACCAATTAAGCTTTTTATAAGTCCTGCTACAGAATTGATTTCTCTGATATGTATATCAGCACTGGGACTTGGTGCATAAACATGAAATAAATGTATAATAGTTTATTTGAATGGAAAGAGAGTCATGTGGGGCAATATGAGGAATTAACCTTGCAGTGGGTTAACCTTGACTGTGTCATTGGAATGACTTTGTGCTGCACCCTGAGGCGTCCCGTTCTGCTCTGCACTGGTGCAGCCTCACCTCCAGCACTGGGGGCAGTTTGGGCGCCACAGTATAAAAAAGATCTAAAGCTGCTGGAGAGTGTCCAGAGGAGGCCACTAAATTGGTGAAGGGCTTAGAGGAGAAGCCATATGAGGAGAGGCTGAAGTCACTTGGTTTGTTCAGCCTGGAGAAGAGGAGACTGAGAGGAGATCTCATCGTGATCTATAACTTCCTCACAAGGGTAAGAGGAGGGGCAGGCGCTGATCTCTTCCCTCTGGCCACCAATGCCAGGAGCAGAGGAAATGTCAGGAAGATGTGCCAGGGGAGGGTTAGGTTGGCCATGAGGAAAAAGTTCTTCAGGAACAGGCTCCCCAGGGAGGTGGTCATGGCACCAGTCCTGACAAGATTCCAGAAGCATTTGGCCAAGGCCCTCAGACACATGGTCTGAATGTTGTAATTGTCCTGTGCAGGGACAGGAGTTGGACTTGATGATCCTTGTGGGTCCCTTCCAACTCACAGCATTCTGTGATTCTGTGAATAGCCTTGCTCTATAAGCCTTGACATGGTTTTTAAAATCTTTAGTAAGAGAGTTTTACAAGGAAGTGTCTGTACAAACCATTACTGAGTTGGATTGCCTTTTTCACGATACCTGCAGAGTAAAGGTTGGAAAACGTAGCACCTGAGATTCGTTTCACTGGTTATAAGTCATCTATGCGATGTGCATGTCCACCTGAGCTGTCTCACCCGGGACTGTCTATTGAGTCGATGGGAAAAGGTGCCTTGTGGTGGTTTGGGTGGGTTCACCCTTTTTTCTTGCACCTTTGCAGCCAAACACAGCCTGCTCTCTCACCCTCCCCCCCCTGCCTCACCAGGGAGTAGGGGAGAGAAATGGAAGAAAAAGGGCAAGGAGACTCACGGGTTGAGATAAAAACTATTTACTAATTAAAATAAAATGATAATGGTAAAAACAGTAATAACAAAATATACAATTGAGTGATGCACAGTGTAATTGCTCACCACCCACTAGTGCCCAGCCTGTGCCAGCCAGTGATCCCAGAGCAGAGACAGTCCCCAAATCCTGGAAGAGTGAGCCTGAGTGATCCCCGAGAGAATATACCCATCTTCCAGTCAACCCTGGTTAATATACTGACATGATGGGATATGATATGGAATATCTCATTGGCACATCCAAATGCCAGTTTTGGGTTTTGCTGTTCACTGCGCTTCTCCCTCCCAGTCCTAATGCAGCTGTGAACCAGCCAAACACGGTGGCCTTGAGCTCCAGCAGCAACTAATAACATTAGTACTTTTATCAACATTGCTCTCATAACAAGTCTTACACTGAAATGAAAACACAGCTATTCTAACTACTAAGAAGAAAATTAACTCTATCCTAGCAAAGCCAGGACATGCATTTAGGGTACACTTCCTTTGAACTGCTTTATCTGTCTGCTAAAGGGGATGCAGCTTGTTGCATGCTGTGAACATCTGCTCTTTTCAGACGTTTTGTGGATAACTAATGTCAGAGAGATGTGAGTGTGTGTTACCTGATAGACCATTAGCCCTGGTGTCTGCAACTCACGCTCCCTAGAAGATGGGCATTTATACAATCTGATCTGCAGACAAAGCCACATCTGTCAATGTTGAGAAGAGGTGGATGGTGAGGAAATCTCATACATTTATTGCACTCCTTATGTTATCCATAACTCTATGATAAAAGCAGCAGTGCTGCTACAAGAGTCTGTTCTGTTCTCCCTTCTTGTCCCTAGCTGCTTGTTCTCCCTCCTGCAGTGCTTCCTTCTGTGTGCCAGTGTCACGTGGCTGTTCTGTAATGTTGTCTGAGGAACTGGTCCTGGCTAAAAATGGGTATTTGGGGATTTGTTATTTACTAATACTAATTAGTACAGGTGTAATTTACAGGTGTAAATTAGTACTAGTACTAAATACTAGTACTAATTTAGACCTGTTTCTTGAGCCCACAAGTTGCACAGCCCCATTAAAGTTTGTTTGAGGACAGGGGCAGGGCCAGACATGGGCAGAAGAGAGAAGGGGATGTGGAATCACTTTTTTCCTGCATCATTGCCTACTTATATTATGTAATATTTCCATGGAGCTTTGTGCAAGAAAGAACCTGAATGAACCCAAGATCTTGAACAGGGCTGTTGTTATCTAACATTTTGCTTCACTTAAGAAAAAGTAGGTAAAATCAGCTCATCTATTGTCCTGGTTTTTGCTAGTATACGGTTAATTTTCTTCTTAGTAGCCAGAAAGCACTGTGCTTTGGTTTCAGTGAGACTGTTATGAGAACAGTGTTGATAACTACAAGGACACTGTGCTGGGGCAGTTTCCAAGAAGAGAGGACTGGAAGGGGGGAGCAGAGAAGTGTAGTAGTCAGTAAAACCCAGAATTGACAGTTGGATGTGCCAGTAAGATATTCCAGATCATATCACGTCATGTTCAGTATATTAACCGGGGCTGACCAGAAAGGGGGGGATTCTCTCGGGAATCACTCGGGCTCGCTTTTCCGGGATTGCGATTTGGGTTTCGAGGTTCCTTTCCGCCCCTCTGGGATCATTATCAGCAGGTGGTGAGCAATTGCACTCTGCATCACTCATAGATATATCGTTGTTGTCATTATTACTATTACTATTCTTATTATTTTAATTTTATTTTACTCTAATTATTTAATTGTTCTTATCTCAACCTACAAGTCTCCTTACCTTTACCCCTCCAATTCTGTCCCTGATTCCCTGCGTGGGGAGGGAAGGGGGCAGGGAAGGTGGAGGCTGCGAGTGGCTGTGTCTTATTTGGCTGCCAGCGAAGTTAATCTGTAACTTCTATAAAGAGGAGAAACAGACTTCTTACTGTGGCCCCTCTGCTTGCTGAGATTGTCTGTTCCCATGTCTACATTCTCTCGGAGGATTTTCAGCACTTAGTTGCTCTTCTCAAGTGAAGTTAACCTTTCTGATTTCTTCTCTGGTCAAACCTCCTGACATTTCATTCTTCATGAAGAGGAAAACTGGTGTAGTGTGACAGGAATAACATTTATCTCATCAGATACATTTTTTTTTTTTTTTAGATGACTAAGTTTGATATATTATATAGTTTGGTGCATGAAAGTAATTTAAAACCATGAGCTGGGAGGTTGGAGAATGGCTGCTTTGCATCGGTTCATTCCAGTGAGTCTTTTCTGTATGTATTACTGGAAGGAACAGAGGGATTCACCTGTCCTAACTTATCTCTCTGTAAGTTGGATATTTTAATCTGAGTCTGTCCTTGCTTTTATGGTCAGTGGAGAGAAGGGGAATGAGGTGACTCATCCTCTGGAAATGCCTCTCTTCTTTGACCATAAGAGGAAAGCATTCTACATTTTAGACAGCTGTGGTGGGGGGGCTTCAACTCCAGGCTGAAAGGCCGAAGGCTCAGTTGAGTTGCACACAACTCGCTGTCTATACAACTGTGGTGCTCTGGGATTGTCACCTAGCCTTCAGGACGTTATAGGTCTCCCATAAGTGCTGTGTGATATTTGCCAGCCGTGTGCAAGCCCCTTGGATACCCTAAAGCATCGCAAGTGGCATGAGATCTTATAGCAGCCTTCCAGTACCTGAAGGGGGCCTACAAGAAAGCTGGGAAAGGACTTTTCTTAAGGGCAGTTAATGACAAAACAAGGGGAAATGGGTTTAAACTGAAAGAGGGGAGGTTTAGATGAGATATTAGGAAGAAGTTCTTCCCTGTGAGGGTGGTGAGACACTGGAACAGGTTGCCCAAGGAAGTTGTGGCTGTGCCTCCCTGGAAGTGTTCAAGGCCAGGCTGGATGAGGCTTTGAGCAACCTGGTCTAGTGGAAGGTGTCCCTGCTGATGGCAGGGGGGTTGGAACTAGATGATCTTTAAGGTCCCTTTCAATCCTAACCATTCTATGATTCTATGAGATGCCTGTCTTTAGCAGTCTGGTCTCTATGATTAGATGTCTGCATTTGCTGTGGATTTCTAAGCTCCCATCCCAGTCAGTGCAGTACTGTGGAGAAGAATTTAGTTGAGCATCTACAGAGTGAGAGAATCCATTTTGCTAAACGTGCAAGGCTAGTACCATTTGAGAAACCCTAAGTTATCTTAGATGTCTGCACAGGGCTGGCAGATGTGACACACAACATAAAGGCCCTGGCACTATTGTGAAACAGTGCGGTACTGTACACCATTCAAGGTACCCCTAGCTGCCTGTGTTCAGGTGAGTTGAGCTTCAGTTACATCTTGCCAAAACGAGGTGACTATATCTGACTGTCATGAGAGCTGAGGCACCTCCTGCACGTAGGCAATTGTCCTAACTTGGAGGCAGATCCCACCCCTGTGGCTGACAGGTGAGGTGAGTTGCACCCGTCGTGTCTGCATAGTGTCCTGTTCTGCTGGACGTTGTACCAGCACAGGCAAGCTTGGCCACCCTTCCCCAGAGAGTTTGCAGGTGAAGTGAAAGAACCAGGCGACTGGGGAACAGCAGAGAAGAATGAGGTTGCATTGGGCAGCAGCTCAAAACACATCAAATGTGTCCAGCGAGGG